ATGTGTCACTATCATATGTTCGGTATTGCAATTGTTGTTTATGTTGTGTTAATGCATATACAAAATGTGTTCGATGCAAGGATGCTGTTTATGTTCTAGTTTACATAATTTGTTGTTCGGATGTCAATGGGAAGTTTTATAGTCAAATACAAATGCTGTTCGTGATGGCAAAGGGAGGGTTAATGTTCAGAGGTGGGCAAGATGTGTTCGATGCAAGGAGGGTTAATGTTCAAACAAATGTGGTTTCGGTATAGCAAGGAGGGTTAATTGTTCAAACAAAATGTGTTCGGGATGCAAGGAAGGGTTTTAATGTTCAAACAAATGTGTTCGGATGCAAAGGAGGGTTAATGTTCAAACAATGTGTTCGGATGCCAAGGAGGGTTAATGTTCACAAACAAATGTGTTCGGATGCAAGGAGGGTTAATGTTCAAACAAATGTGTTCGGATGCAAGAGAAGGTTAATGTCAAACAAATGTGTTCGAATGCAAGGAGGGTTTACTGTCAGACAAAATACGCGGATGCAAGAGGGTTAATGTCAGATCAAATTTTCGATGCAAGGGGAAGGTTAATGTTGAAGGTTGTGTAACAAATGTGTTCGGATTCAAGGAGGCGTAATGTTCAAACAAATGTGTTCGGATGCAAGGAGGGCTTAATGTTCAAACAAATGTGTTCGGATTCGGATGCAAGGAATGAAGTCATGAGCCATTGGAAGCCACTCTAAAATCTGCCTTATATAGCTTTAATATTCAACCAAGAGCATTTTTACCATAATATATTCTGGATTTTCATGTCATACACAGGTATTACTCTTTTTTTTTTTTGACACCAGACGATGACCTAACCGCACCTCCTTCCCGCAGGATACTCGTCGGGGGCGCCGAAGGACCACAACCTGCAGCCGGGGACGAACCGGTCGGGCGCCCTCTGGAGGTGCCCGCTCACCACCCGAACCACCGACTGCGAGCAAGTCCAGACCGACGGCTTCAAGAGTGAGTTGATTTTCAACCCCCCTCCCCTTCCCCTTCCCTCCCCCCCCCCATTGGACAGCTTCAAGACGGTTTATTCTGCCCCTCCCCCCTCCCCATCCCCCTCCCCCCAAAAAAAACTCCCCCTTGAATAAATTATTTATCCAAAAGAATATATATTTTTTTTCTTTTGTTCTACAACATAGGATAGGCCTACTTGCAGTGGATTGTTGACCTCACTTAACCTACTTGAGATTGAAGACGGTGTCACGGAACGGAATTCTTGAGATGAGACTCGCTTTTTTTTCATGTATTTTTTCTTTTCTCTTCGATCTTGCAACGGTTGAACTGAGCCAGACTGGAACTGCTGACGAGGCAGAAGACTCTCTCCCTCTGGGATTTTGCACAGACTGGCGGGTACGATTTGGGGGTCAACGGGTGTGAAGGATTTGCCAATGTTAGTGTTAATTCGCACGAGACGGATGGCTAGGCTAGTTAGGCTAGATAAAGGTTTTTGTTCACACAGACACACTTCATTCACGCAGACGCACGCACTCTCAAACGCACATGCAAAAATCAAAAACAAGATAGGATGACATTAAATTTTATCGTCATATGAAAAGATGAGTCACAACACATTATTTAACAGCAATTAAGTCAAGACTGAGAAGAAAAAAAACACGCTTAATTAATTTTTCAATATGCGGAGGATTGTATCACAGACAGCAGTTAGGGAAGTTTACAGAGAGATAGAGAAATAAAGTTATTAATTCTCGTAATTTGAGTTAGGACACGGGGCGCCATCCCCGCTATGGCGAACCAAGTGACAAAGAGATATTCGAGCCAACTCTACCGCCGGGTTCTTTATTAGCCAACGTCTATTAAACGCAAGACGCAGAATTAATTATTAATGCACCGTTACTGTAATCTGTGTTTTTCACTGTCACTGCGCGTGATCTAGTGTAGAGTACATGTGATATTGTAGATATATTAATACTCATGAATGACTCAATCGTCTGTTCTATAGATATTGTGATATATGTGTAATCTATAGGTTTATGTAGGAGAGAAAGACATGCTTTGGGAAGCAACATTCTCGAACGTGTTACAAACGTGTTGAATATTTTCGTTGTTATGGTTCTCATTTTAAATGTTTTCTTAAATCGCAAATGTTTTCCTTTTCAAGATTGATTCATGCCCATTTTATTTAATGTCAGAGTATCCGTAGATATTCCGTAGGTAGACATAGATGTGTACAGTATCATCCCTTGAGCAGTGGGTTGTGGGTGTGTATATATACGTAGTGGTATTAATTCCAAAGTATATTAGAGCGAGAGAATACATCCCACTTAAATGATTGCCCTGTAGATGTTCTCCATTTCAGGTTTGTGTAGCTAATGGTGTCAGTAAAGCTAAGCAGTCAAGGTTCTGTACCCGGACGCACTTAGGCTGCTGTGACAGAGTAGTAACACCAAAGACTAGAACTGTATCACTGTACCTTCGCTGTATTCCGAAGAAAGAAAAATATAAAGATAAATCACTAATGATGACCAGACAAGTGACTTAAGCAGCCTATGTGTAGAGGTACGAACCTTAACGTGTATATATACATATATATCCCTATGAAAGTTTACCGTGTACTGTACTTAGGCATGAGTAGTGTATGTAGTGGTGAATGGACACGCGAAGCCAGCGCCTCCCGCGGCAGTCCTTGCGTCCTCCTGTAGGGGTGCCGCGGGGAGGGATCTGCAGCTGTAGTGAGATTTACAAGCGAGAGACAAATGTTTTTATTATGATCATTGTTAAGATTATGGCAAGGAACTGTAAGTATGTAGTTGGCCGAGGAAGGGCCGGTAGGATGTGCCACCGAGAAGTCAGCGAATCGGCATGCAGGATATGTGTAGGCCTATATGTGTTACTGTGTGTCGGCGGCCTCTCTGCCGCTCTCGGATTCACGTCCCAGAGTCTCGGCCCCGCCCCCTGGGGCGGCGGAGACGCCCTCGCGCGCCCAGTGTCCATGTGCGCCTGTTTGTTCTGCTTTCGTTGGTGTCGCGAGGATGGCCAGCGCGCACTTAGTGACCCGGGACCCCAGGGGACCCCAGGGGAACCCAGGCACTCTAGATGTGCTTGCAGTGTCGCTGTTTCAGAACACCGGGTGCTGCCGCCTCTCTCCCCGCGGTGGCCTTAAGCGTAAGACAACTTCCCTGAGAGAAAAGCCCCTCGGACAGATATTTATAAGATGCAGAAAGCTTTTTGTTGCGCCCGAGACCTCCAGACAGTGAGGGACGCCATGACAGCACCCGGGATATCCGCCAGTGTACCGTGACTTGCATGCTGCTGTATAAAAAACAAAAACTACAACCCCAGCGTGTCTGCCCCGCGTGGCACGGACGTCTGCCTGCCGCTGCTGCAGGAGGCCTGACGGCGGCCCCGCCACGACCACCCGGCCGGGCCGCCTCCCTACTTCCCGGCCCGCACTCACTCACTCGGGACCAAAGACTGTATACGACTGTATATGCTGTACAGTCTTTGCTCGTGACTCTTGCACCACAAACGCACTCTGACGCTCTCTGCACTCGACTCCTGTCTCGGCGGCGGCGGCGGCGGCCTGGCTCTGGCGGCGCCGCCCGCCCCCTCCGGGTCTTGACCTTATCTCTGGCTCCTGCAGGACTCCCTCTGACCTTGCCTAACATTTCTTTTACGGACTTGATGATGTGAGCTTGACTCGAGAGAAAACAAACCCGGACAAAATTCTCTGCAAAAGATTTAAGATTCCTTCAAAAGATCAAACAGTTTGGCAAATGTTTTTCAGTCAAGAGTTTGAATCAACATTGAGGCCTTTTAAGACCAAACAGTTTGGCAAATGTTTTTCAGTCAAGAGTTTGAATCAACATTGCAGAGCCTTTTAAGACCAAGACCTTCCTTTGCTGTCCTCTTTCTAAGTAGTATCAATATGTACAAATCACTTCACTTCTTCTCCTCTCTGTAGACAAAGATTTATTTCTCATTTTTATGTTAACAAAAAAAAAAGATTAAATGTACAGTACAACCAGTTTTTAAAAAAGAATGTGTCAAAAGTTAACCATCCGACACTCATTTTAATATATTTTTTTCATACCAAGTAAACAGTCTAACTAAGTTCTTACATACATTTATTTTTCTTCAATGGCTAGCTAGCCTCTCCCTTGTGTGTGAAGTAGGAATCCCAGTCGTTGTCCGAAGGCGCCGCGCCGTCTGTGTGTCTACTCGCCTCTGCAGCGCCTCGCTCGGGACGGGAATCTAAACCCCTTTATTATTAATATCACTTTTTTCTCTCTCTCTTTCTCTCGACTAACGGCCTTTCAAATATGCTGACTGTGTGTGTGTGTGTGTTCGTATGTTTTTTTTTATGTGTGTAGTTTGTGTCTGTGAGTTAAGATGTGTTTTATCCGGCTGTTTCCTTGCCCTTCTCTTCTCTGTCTTTCACGTAATAAGATGGGCTTGGGTTATTTCTTCATTATTAATCTACCTTCTTTAGCTTTCGTGATTTAGGGTTAAGTATTCCATACGTATCGATTTTGAAAGTTATTTTTTCCCCTCAATTATTCGACAGGTATGTATGCCAGTGAGCAATGAATCGATAGAAGGCCTATAGAATGCGTGATTACAGGTGAAAATGTTTCAAGGTGGAAACAGGTGTATCTACGGGTTGCCATTAGGGTGTGTGGGCCAGGTGAACCGAATTTGTACTTTGGAGTGTGTGTTTGGGTACTGTGTGTATGTGCATAGAGCGTGTGTGTGTGTGCTTCTCTACATGTACCTTCACATACGTAGGTGTATGGGGTAAGGTTGTGCTCTCTCTGTTGCGAGTGTGTGGGTGGGTGGGTGGGGCGTATGCGTGAGAGAGAGAGAGAGAGAGAGAGAGAGAGAGAGAGAGAGAGAGAGAGAGAGAGAGAGAGAGAGAGAGAGAGAGAGAGAGAGAGAGAGAGAGAGAGAGAGAGAGATTGTGTATTTGTGTAGGTATGTATGTGTCTATATGTGCGTGTGTTTGCGGGCGTGCATGCGCGTGGACCCCGAGGCCGCCCGAGCCCGCGCCCAAAGGCAGTATTCGCACAGATGCGCGGCGGACGGCAAACAACTGAAAATTTTCCGGTTCACACTCTTTTAATTATTTTTTTCCATCTTCAGAGATATGTTTGTCTTACGTTATGTATGTTGCTTACTTCTTACAGATCCGGAAACAGGGCTCTACAACTTTGACTGTAAGTTTTAACCCCACCTCCCCTCACACCTCTCACGACCACCATCACTCATCACCATCACCATCACTCCCATCACCGCTCAACACTCTCACCACCGCCACTTCACCTGCGTCTCGCCCGGGGCTCCACCTGCCCTCCGGCTCCGCTCAGCATGCAGCCTCACCTCCACCTCCACTCGCACTCTGGCTCTTGCCTGGACACCTCACAACAGCGCCTGTGGTGGCACTCGTTCATGGCACTCGATCACTTCTGCACTGGGAGCATCTTCTGGACCGACCCTAGCCCTCTCCCTCCCTCCTATTCTCTCTATCTCCTCCTCCTCCTCCTCCTCCTCCTCCTCCTCCTCTCCTCCTCCTTCCCCTATCCTTACTCACCACTCCCTGGCCGCACCCTCGGCACGGCAGAGAGCTCGTCCCCTCAACCACTGCCCCCCCCCTCCTCTTTGCTTTACTACCCTAACGCCCTCCTTTTCTCCCTTCCCCTTCTCCCCCTCCTTTTCCTCCCATCTCCCCTCCTTCTCCCTTCTCCCTTCCCTTTTTCCCTCCCATCTCCCCTCCTCTCCCCTACCCCTCCTTATTCCACCCCTCCCCTCCCACTCCCATGCACGGGGTTATGAAGGTCCAGTGTATTGCCATATTGCAACCCTCATTTCGTGCACGCCCACGGGTCACTGTCACGCCCTTGTTGTTCCCTTGGGAGGGCTCATGTCTGCCCCCCACCGTGTCTTCACTTCGGTTCTCCCAAGTCACTCGATTTAGGAATACTGTACATAACTTGTACATACACACGTACATATGCTCATGTGCACTTTCAAGTTCAAACTCAAGTTCGCCCACCCACACACACGCACACGAACGCACACCACGCACCACACACACACACACCACACACGCACACGCACACACACACCACACGCACACGGCACACACATCACAGCACACGCACACGCACACGCACACGCACACGCACACGCACACGCACAACACACACACACACACACACACACACACCACACCACACACACACACACAGACACACACACACACACACGCAGTCCCAGCACATTAGTCATCCGCCACCTGTGCTCCGCCTGCACACCTGGCCAAGTCATCTCATCACCCAAGGATCGACCGATTAACAACTACTAACGTTACACATGTGAATGATTTGCTTGGTTATTAATTTCGTTCCAGTTACAGCAACTAACCGTGATTGTCGTTGCAAGCCTTGCATCCTGCCCCGTCCACCATAGCCTCCTTTATCCTGCTCCGATCCTTCCTCTCCCATTCTTCCCCCGTCCCCTTTCTCCCCTTCCCCCCTCTCCTCTCCCTCTCCCCATTCTTCCCCCCCCTCCCCTTCTCCGTATCAAGAACCTGACCTGCCATGGCATGCCGACGCGTCTCTTCTCTTAAACGTCGCGCAAAGAATTCTGGGCGCCTTTCAAAATGCCATGGAAGGAGGTGCAGCAGGACGTGTTGGGTGCGAAGCCAAGGGAGCCTGGGATGTGTTTGCGCGCGTGTGTGGCCAGACAGACATCTAGGAGCATGTCAAGTTGGCAGGCACCAGGCCTCGCCTCTTGGGCTGCCGCAAGCACCATGTCCTGTCTTCTGTCCTCGCTTCTTCCTCCTCCTCCTCCTCTCCTCCTCCTCCTCCTCCTCCTCCTCCTCTTCCTCCTCCTCTCCTCCTCCTCCTCCTCCTCCTCCTCCTCCTCCTCCTCCTCCTCCTCCTCCTCCTCCTCCTCCTCTCCCCCTCCTCTCTCCCCTCCCTCTTTTTCCTCTTCCTTTCCTCCCCTAATCCTTTCCCCCCCTCCTCCTCCTCCCCCCTCCCCTCCCTTTCCTCCTCCTCCTCTCCTCTCTCCTCCTCCTCCTCCTCCTCCTCCTCCTCCTCCTCCTCCTCCTCCTCCTCCTCCCTCCTCCTCCTCCCTCCTCCTCCTCCTCCCCTCCTCCTCCTCCTCCTCCTTCCTCCCCCCCACCTTCCTCTCCCATCCTCATCCTTTAACCTGGCAGTCCTCTATTTATGATTGAAGTTCTTTTTTTTCATGCAACTTTATGAGAAAATCAAAAACTGATGGAACATTATTAAAGAATGCATTGCAACTATTCCATTCAGTTCAGTTAGACTTCATTTTATCTCGTTTTAGAGAGATTTTCATATTTTAGTCCTTTGGCATGGGATTATGTCAAGATAAAAGTTTTATTTTACTGAGATGTAGTTGTATGTTAGATATGTGATTCATATCATACAGTAACTGGCATTTTGTCTTTACTCTTAAGAAAGCAAGACAGCAAGTTTGCTTTAGTATTTATAAGTTGTATTTGTAACTGAGAGATGAAGCCAAATAAAAAAAAAATCCTCAGCCACGTCTCACCTGCTTGTAAAACATAACACCTACAGTCTTATACCCAATAAATTACCCAAACTGAATTTAAATAACTGATATAAACTTTTCAGAATCTCCCTTCTCTAATAAAATACACAAGTAAATAATATTCCTGCTGATGAGCTGCATTGTGCTACAATTATGCTTCGCCATGAATGCCTAATTATGCACGATGATGGAGTGTGTTTGCAATTTGCGTGTGAATGCATTTTCTGTTTCATTTATTTTTTTGCCTGAAGCTAGCATGTGCCTCCACTCCTCTCTCTCTCTCTCTCTCTCTCTCTCCCTCTCCCTCCCTCCCACAGTCCACCATTCATGTGCCTCCCCTGTATCCTCATTCCAGAGTTGCATAATATCCTTTGACTTCTGGTAATACTCAGTTCCTCGATCCTTCTCCTCTTGTGGTTCTTTGTTTTTTTTTTATGTTTTACTCTTCTTCTTTTTCTTTTCCCTTTTCTTCTTCTTTGCCTTCCCTCTTTGGTATCTTATTTTTTCTCATCTCTTTGCTTTATGTAATTTGGGCTTTGGATATTTTTTCCCCATTTTTTTCTTTTTCTGTATCTATTTTGCACATTTGTTTTCTTTGGGACTTTTATCTCAACCCTTTTACAATTTTTACGATCACTGTTTTCATTTTTTCTCCTTCCTTTTTTTTTTTTTTTTTTTTTTTTTTTTCTTCTTCCCCTTCTCCTCCTCCTGCTCCTCTTCCTCTTCTCTTCCTCTCCTCTTCTTCCTCATCTCCCTCCTATATTATTTACTTAATTTTATTCATTTTTTTATATCCTCTTCCTCCTTTCCTTCCTTGACCTTCCCCTCCTCCTTTTTTTCAATTTTCTACGCATGTCTTCCAAATTTTACTCTTATTTCTTTTCCCCCTTTACCTCCTCTTTTCTTTCATACTTTTCCTTTCCCATTTTCCCCCTTTTCCTCCTCCTCTTCCGCTTTTTCTGTTGCTATCCTCCTCCTCCTCCTTCTCCTCATCCTTTTTTCCTCCCTCTTCCTCCTCTTTCTTCTCCTCCTCTCTTACTCCTCCTTCTTTTCCTCGTTTTCCTCCTCCATCACATCCTCCTTCTTCCTTCTTTATCCTCCTTTCCTCCATGTCCTCCATATCCTCCTAACAGCTCATGAGAACTCAACACTAGATCTTCCATGTCTGTCCCTCTGTCACAGGACCTTTTTGTTTCCTGCCAAATTTTTATGCACATTTCATGTTTTATTTTTTTCTGGTCTTATATTTTAAGTCCATTTTTTTTTTTTTTTGTGCATTGCCTTTTTTTTTGGGTTAGGTTGCCAAGATCTGAATTTTCCTCCTTTGTTTTCAGTTGTATGCTAGGTATAAGATTTTTTTTTTTTTTTTTTTTTTCCCCAACTTGCATTTTGATATGTATCGAAGCATGATGATGTGGAAACCAGCGACCCCTTTTCATATATTCTTCATTATTGCTTCTGTTGTTATTTTATTTTTCATTTTTATTTTTTACATCACACTCTGTGAACCTATAAATGATTCCTGTTTTTTTTTTTGTGTGTCCACAACTTTTTATGAAATGTATAACGACTCAAACAACAGAAGCAAAGAGTTATGTTAAACTGCATTTATATATTTTTGTTTGTTTGGTTGTTATCGCTTTGTTTGTCAAGGGTTGATCATGGTTTCCTGGTATCAAGATTTTCCCCCCCACTTCAGACCAAAACTGAAACTTGCAAATATTTAAAATGTCACTCGGTATAAATACTGAAAATGGATCTGAAACACAAAAAGAGCAAGTTCCAGTTTGTGGTCGTGAAGGAGCATGTTTGTTTAAGTTTTGTTAAGAATATATATCTCTATACATATATATGTATGTGGCTGCGCACCAGTGGGATGAAGAAGAGAAGATGGCTTAGTTCTGAACCCTGGTGATGGCTGCCACCTCGTTGTGGTTCTTGGCCTGGCGTTTTGTGGATGGAATCTGGAATTTGAATTGTGATTTTTCTCGCCACTTTTTTTTTTTTTATAGTATTAAGATTTGTTTTGGATATCATGCAGTTTTGCTTTGTTGCTTAGCTTCCTTTTTTTTTTCCCCTTTTTTTTCATCGCAAGAGTATCATGTAGAGAGAATGTGGTAGCTGTAATTTTGTTTGATCATTTTGTTTTTGTTTTGTAAGTTATTCAGATTGCATTTTGGATACTGTAATTTTGCTTCTTTGCATTAAAGATTGCATTTATATATATAAATATATCTTAAGTTGTACAGTACAATGAAGCCCTCGTCTGCCTAAGCACTTTTGAGTCATGATATGTCCAGTTTTGAGCTTTTCCTCGTGCATTTGTAAATACCTTTCAGAGGGCCAGTAATGCTTCTTGTGATGAGCTTTTTCCAATTGTAGACAAATCAAAATGAAAGGTAGGTTTTTGACCTCACTTGTCTGTGATTTTTTCCCTCCCCCTTTTTTCCCCCTAAGTCAGGCAGGTTTCCCTCTTTTGGCCGACTACCTCTGCTTTCCCTAATCCCTGAAACCCTCTTGCAGATATAGACACGAATTTGTCCATGCCAGCTGAGAATGAGATCAAGGACGACCAGTGGCTCGGTGTCACTCTCAAGAGCCAGGGTGCCGGGGGAAAGGTCTTGGTGAGTTGGGTTACCATTTTTTTTTTTTTTATCTTGTGCTTTCATTGTGTAATTTTATTTAATACAGATTTTATTGTTTATTGAATACAGATTTGACTAAAACACTTTGTATGAGTTCTCCTTTTTTCTTAATTTGCTGTCAATAAACCTCACTTATATCAATATCAGACATTCACCAAATGCATTTTTTTTTTTCTTTCCTTCTTTCTGTACATTTACCTTACATAATAAATTAGATATTCCTTACATGTATATACTCATTGTATCTTGTGTAAGTTGTCATTATATTTACAAATATAATGACAACAAAACCAGATTTAACCTAATGTTAATGATCTGCTCATACACACAAAATAAATCAAACTCAAAAGTTGCATGAACACTTTGTTAATTGTCCTTACAGGTGTGTGCTCATCGGTACATGCACAAGGGCCCAGGGTTCCAGTGGGGCTTTGGCCTGTGCTACATTCTCACGCAGACCCTTGACGTCTCTGACTACTTGGAACCTTGCCGTGGAAAACCTGTTAATGAGTAAGAAGTTATTGCTGTTCATGGCTTTATTTTAGTTATGGTATTGTTGTATTCTTTTTGATAGTCATTTGTATTATATTTTTACATTTCATTTATTTACTCATTTTTTGTGCTATTATTTTTGGGCAATGTAGGTTAGCATCTGCAGTACTTAAATTAGTTTGATTTTATTTCATAACTAATTCCAGTTGTCCTCTTTTATTGAATGGCTTTGACTCTGACAGTTTATTATAAAAGAATTACAGCTGATTATAAAAGAATTACAGGCAAGTATCTTCTGGCTGTCAGAACTGACCCTCATGCCAAATTTAATAATCCTAGATAATTATAACCACATTTTCTTTTATGTAATTAATCATCATTCAACGCTCCATACTCTTCATCTAACTTCGGTGATGCAAATTCTCAGTGTGTTTTGTTCTTTGCAGAGGTCATCAACAGTATGGCTTCTGCCAGGCTGGAACAAGTGGTCTTCTGTTAAATGACGAGGCTGTTCTTGGTGTGCCCGGTCCATACACCTGGAGAGGAACTGTTCACACATCCAACATCTCAGATAATTTCCTATTCAAGGACAAGACACAATATTTTGGACCTGTGACGGAAAAGGATTCACCTATGGACAAGTACAGTTATTTAGGTAGGTTAGAGTTTTAAGGATATTGCACTGGAAATGCCTTTTGAGGGGAGGCTCTCTCTCTCTCTCTCTCTCTCTCTCTCTCTCTCTCTCTCTCTCTCTCTCTCTCTCTCTCTCTCCTCTCTTCTCTCTCTCCTCTCTCCTCTCTCCTCTCCCTCCTCTCTCTCCCTCCTCCCCTCTCCCTCCCCTCTCCCCTCCCTCTCCCTCTCCCTCCTCCCTCTCCCTCTCCCTTCCCTCCCCCCCCCCTTCCCTTCCTCTTCTTTCTCCTCTCCCTCTCCTCCTCTCTCATCCTCTCTCATCTCTCTCTCTCTCTCTCTCTCTCTCTCTCTCTCTCTCTCTCTCTCTCTCTCTCTCTCTCTCTCTCTCTCTCTCTCTCTCTCTCTCTCTCTCTCTCTCTCTCTCTCTCTCTCTCACCAAAAAATTCCTATACTAATGTCATCCTATTTGCAGGTTACTCTGTAACAGCTGGCCGTTTCTTTGGGAATTACATGTCCTACGTTGGAGGAGCACCAAGGGCTAAGGAGACTGGTCAAGTAGTATTCTTCACTCGCGAAAAGATTGGTGAAAGCTTGCTGCGTGTAGATTTAATCCTTGATGGAGAGATGTTTGCTTCAAGCTTTGGGTTTGAAGTTCTTGCCATTGATATCAATAATGACGGGTAAGTTGACAGGGGATTTATCATAATTTTCTTTTGTAGAATATCACTTTTTATTCCTTGGTAATAATTTGTTGTCTCATATGTTACAGATTATTGAATATTTTCCTTTTATATAAAATTTCAAAGTGGATTTATCAAAGAAGAAAGTTTTTTTCAGTTGTACAAGCTCATTCCAAATATTTCATATATAACATGATAATGTACAAATGATATATATTGATATTTTTTAAAAATTTATCTTTAGTATTAACAAGCCCTCATTAGCCTGTCTAAGGCTGAAGACCTTATGAGCATTGCCTTGACACTATATGATTGATTGCATCTTCACTCCAGACGGGATGATCTTATCGTTGGAGCTCCCTTCTACTACACAAGCACATCAAGCGGTGCTGTGTACGTCTACATGAACAATGACGGAGGATTCGTGGAAAATCATCCATACACAAAGATCGAAGGTTTGTATTTTTTTTCTTGCTTTCTTTTCTTTTATTTATTATGACTGAAGAAAACAGTAGGTTCAAAAATATGTTTTCATTGGCATATATGAGAATGATCTTTTTACTGGTCATGGTTGTGGGAATTTATGCTTAGAAGTAGTTGCTGCATTGGTTATTAGAGATGACTGTTTGAAAAGCATTTTAGAATTAAATTGTTTGAGTACAGGAATTATTCGATGAATTCCTTGCTGTCAAAGGCAATTACCCCAGCATAAGTGAATGGCATCTTTTAAGTATATTACACATGTCATATAGTCAGTCTATCAGTATGGATAATACAATATTTCATAATGTGTAAATTGGAATATTCAATTAGATTTCTGTCTCAAAAAGTTGTACTTCAAGAGTCATACATATCTGGCTTCCATTATTTTACATTTAGATACCAAAATTAAAAATAGATGACAACATGCACCCAATAGTGAAACAGGTTTAGGCACATAATAAGGTTCAGGACACATACATTACATCACCATTAGTTTTGAATATTTTTAGGTTTACGTACGCAATAACTGTTAATATTTACCTGTGTGAAGAAATTAAAGATCCTTAAGTAACTCTCTCACTAAGCAAATTGACTTTGATTCGGAGTTTGATATTGCCAATATAATTTCTTGTTATAATTACAAAATTGTTGGGAACTAAATACTTTGTATAATGCTTAAGTATGTATTAAGTATTTTTCCCATCAGGTATGAATATGATCACTATATTGTAAGTGTTATCCATTTATAATAACAGAATGGGAATTGCATTTAAATCTCAAGTTTATCCTATTTTTTCTTGTTGTCTTCCCTTTTGTCTTCTTCTTCACTCTCGCTCTCTCTGTCTCTGTCTCAGTCTCTAGCTCTCTCTCTCTGTGTCTCTCACTCACTCTCTCACTCTCTCTCTCACACTCTCTTCTCTCTCTCTCTCTCTCTCCTCTCTCTCTCTCTCTCTCTCTCTCTCTCTCTCTCTCTCTCTCTCTCTCTCTCTCTCTCTCTCTCTCTCTCTCTCTCTCTCTCTCTCTCTCTCTCTCTCTCTCTCTCTCTCTCTCTCTCTCTCTCTCTCTCTCTCTCTCTCTCTCTCTCTCTCTCTCTCTCTCTCTCTCAGCCTCTTCTCCTTTTCTTTATGATGTTTGTTCAAATATACATGTTCAAAATTTTATGCTATGTATTTAGCATAGTATATTTGGCAGCATCAGCAAACACTCATAGGACTAAAAGCTATGAATTATCATACATCAGTGACAACATTTTATATAAAAAATGATAATTTATAAAGCAACATAAAAATACAAAATTGAATTAGCCTGGTCATATTTTGCCACATTTACATTAATTTATTCACTATCTGAAGATTTTGAATTTATTAATTTTATCATGTATGCAAATAAGGAGATAGCTGTAAATCATCAAAATTAAAGTTGAATATCATTGGCACCTAAAATAGAAATTATATATAATTTTACTTTAATCCACATATTGGTCTTGCACATTTGAATATATGTCTTCTCTGCAGGTGCCTCATATGTAGTGACATTAAATTATTAAATCAGTGCAAATGTGCATTAGTACAAGTACTGTATGCACAAGTTTCAAGCACCCTAAATATTATTTATTGACATCGGTAGGTGAATGCTATATACAACTCAGTATGTATTACAGATATAATTACAATAATTATTTGTCAGTAAATGATGTGCTTATGCATATATAAATTTTTCAGAATAAACTATGCATAAGATTACAGACTGTTACTATATTAGAAGAGGTAGTATATACACAATAATTACTTCAATATAGGTATCTCACACACAAGCAAATCCAACTATACTAATTTGCTAAGAAATGTTATACTGAAGAAACGGTTCACAAAGGGAGAACTCAATAATAAGTGTCTGTGTAGTTTTTCTATGCCCTTTGTATGGAATGCATATGTGATTGCTAAATTATATATACTTTTAAATATTATATGTAGACAAGCTTCTGTAAAATATAGTGCATTGCACAGATATCCTTTATATGTTAAGTTGAAATAAGTAAAGGTTTTTATTTTATTTATAGTTTCTGCAATGTTTATTCTTTGTATCTAAGGCTATACTGAATGAAGGTGTATATATTTTGAAGCACTTTATATTCATTCAGTTTTTTTCTGAGAATGAAGCCAGATTTTTTTAGTTTAATTTTTTTGTAAGACTTTTATATTTGTGTATTTCATGACTACATACAGACATATACTCACTTTCCTATCCAAGGTGTAGGTCTTGCACACGACCAGCAGGTTTTCCAGACACAGCCACCAAGTGCTCAAGGTGAAGCATGATGATACCGACATAAGTTTAGTTGTTCCGTTAGTCAGTCGTCAAGTGGTTAAAAAAAAAAAAAAAAAAAAAAAAACTCTCCTGCCATTGTATGTTGTATTGCCGAGAGATCTGGATTTTTTCACTTTTTTATATCTAAACTAACACAAGTACATTTTCCAATTCATTTTATTTTTTAATGTATTCTATTACTGTTCTCTCTGACTTTACTCTTCATAGCAATAGTCAAAAAGTATTTAGTATAGAGTCACTGAGTTATGTATATTTCTTTCTGCATTATGTTTTCATAGTAATTGTAATGATAAGTAAAGTAGAAGTTAATCAGTGTTATAGAGCAGTTTCATTTGCATGTGGCATTACATCACTGTCTGGTCATGATTCTGTAGTCTTTTATTCTAAGACAATTTACTTTGGCTTCAAAATGCCATAAATCTGTGACATTCTGGCAACCAAGTTTTTGATATCCTGAGATACAGGATTAAGATGCAGCATATGTTCATTTGCAGCTGTTCTAATATATTTTTATATGAAACTCAGAATTTTTTAATGTCTATATCAGTTTGTCACAAAAATCCACACCATTTTTTCTCCTCACTTACTGAAACTTAAACATTATTTACTCACATAGGTGAGGCAGGCGAGAGTCGCTTTGGGTTCTCCATGACCTCCTTGGGCGACCTTAATCATGACGGGTACACGGACGTAGCCATTGGTGCTCCCTATGAAGGGCGAGGAGCGGTCTACGTTTACTTGGGCACAAAAGATGGACTCATGAAGGAAGACGGACATGTTAAGGTGGCACAGGTAATGATCATGATACGAGTTTATATCTTATTCTCCTCCTCTATCTTTTCCTTATTATTATTCTCTTCCTGCTGCTCCTCCTCCATTTCGTCTTGTTTTACTGCTACTTCTACTGCTTCCATTTCTTTTCCCTCCTCCTTCTTCTTCTTCTTCTTCTTCTTCCTCTTTATTCTTATTCCCTCTCCTTCCTCTTCCTCTTCTTCTTCTTCTCTTTCTTTCTTCCTCTTTTCTTCTCTTCCTCTTCTCTTCTTCTTCTTCTCTTCTTCTTCTTCTTCTTCCTCCTCCTCTTATTCCTCTTATTCTTATTCTCCTCCTCCTCCTTCTCTTCCTCCTCCTCCCCTCTCTCCTTCTCCTCCCCTTCCTTCTCTTCTTCTCCTTCTCTCCTTCTCCTTCCTCCTTCTTCTCCTTCTCCTTCCTTTCTTCTCTTCTCCTTCTTCCTCTCTTCTCCTTCTCCTTCTTCCTTCTCCTTGCTCCTTCTCTCTCTTCCTTCTCCTCCTTCTTCCTCTTCTTCTTCTTCTTCTTCTTCTTCTTCTTCTTCTTCTTCTTCTCCTTCCCTCCTCCTCCTCCTCCTCCTCCTCCTCCTCCTTTATCTTTTCCTAAACCTCTTCTACTTCATTATCATCCTTTATTGATATACTTGTCCTTGTTGACAAATGTAGAAAGGTATGAATGAGAATGAGTATCTTCACACTACAAGGGATGTATTTGACCAGTTTTGAATATTTTCTCAGGTTGACAAAAATATATTCGAAACCAGTCAGGTACATCTCTTGTATTGTGAAGTTATTCATTCTCATTTATACCTTTCTACATACTTCTCCTTCTCATCCTTCTTCGGCTTCATGTACGTTTGTATAACTGAGAAAATATTTATTAATTTATTTTTCTTTTATTATTCATTTCATTTATTTTATTTTTTCCCCTTTCTTTTCAGGTTATACGTGCAGAAGACATGCCTGGAGTTCCTTACAATGCATTTGGTTATTCCTTGAGTGGAGGAATGGATCTTGATGGCAATGGATATCCTGACTTGCTTACTTCATCCTTCTGCAGCGATAGAGTTCTTTTGATCAGGTAAGATTTGATGCTAAATAATTAAAAAGAAAAAAGTAATAAAGTTCTTTTTGTGTGTTGTGTGTGTGTGTGTGTGTGTGTGTGTGTGTGTTGTGTGTGTGTGTGTGTGTGTGTGTGTGTTGTGTGTGTGTGTGTGTGTGGTGTGAGAGAGAGAGAGAGAGAGAGAGAGAGAGAGAGAGAGAGAGGAGAGAGAGAGAGAGAGAGAGAGAGAGAGAGAGATGAGAGAGAGAGAAGAGAGAGAGACAGAGAGAGAGACAGAAGAGACAGAGAGAGTGTCTGCATGTGCGTGCGCAAAAGTGATTGGGGGAGGGAGGGAAGTCGCAAGTGAATGAGGGAATGTATACATGCATCATGGGTGGGGATTCTTATGGCCTTGCATGTAAATCAGTAGATTTAAAATAAAAATACTGAATATGTTTTTTTCCCCTCAGGGCCCGCCCTATCATTGACATCCAGACCAAGGTGCAGTCTCAGAACAACCAGCTCGAGAACATCGACCCAAGCAAAAAGGGCTGCATGGAAGATATCAGTTCTCCAGAGACTTGGTATGTTACTGGAATCTTTGAAGAAAAGTCTAAGTTTATTTATTAAAATCTGTTGAAGAAACTGTAAATGACAAATATCAGGAATTATAAAGTCTAATGAAGTTCTACCTAAATTCCTCTTTTTTATTAGTTTTATACATTATGTGGAATAAATGTAAGAAAGCTATCAAAGATTTCTGGGTGTAACTACTTGAATCAATAAGTTATGTAAGAATTTATACTACTTATAAGAAGAAAAGGCAAGAAAGAAGACTCAAGAGAATATTCATGATTTTTTATGAAATATAATGAACAAAAAATAACAAGATAACATTTAAAAAATAGCAAAAGAGAAAAACAGAAAAAATGATTGCCAGCATCCTTATTCTCAATGGCATCTTTCCAGCTTTTCCTTTGACGCGTGCTTCAAGATGGACAACGATGCTGGGACAAAGACAAAGACTGTCCTCCGCTTAAAATACACCATTGAGGAACAGCTGTACAAGGACCAGCCGATTGCCAGAATCCGCTTCTCCGATGGACTGCAAGATCGACCATATACCGTGGAAAGAGATATCAAGCTCCGACCAGAAGACATGGGCAGTTTCCAGTGTTCGCGTGAAATTGTGTATTTACTGGTGAGGAAATGTATGGATCTATCACACCTATGGATAGACCTTTGTATTTGAGTTAATTTGTGTATGTATAAGTAAGAATGGAACCCATAATTAGGCCATTGAATCCCTATGAGTGGGGGTGTGGGGGGGAGGGGAGTACAGGAATTTATGGCAGAGAGGATGTAAGTATGATTTACACAGTTGAAAGAATATTACTGAATAGATGTAAATTAACATGAATTGTATCTGCTGTTGAGATTTATTGCTTTTATGAAAATCTTATCAAGTTTTTTTTTTATTTTATTCATTTTTTTTTTTTTTTTTTTTAAAGACCGTAAACACTTTTTATTTTTTCATTGTCGTTCACTCTCTTTTGACCAAATTCTGTCACCAACAGGATGGCCCAAGAGATATTCTGCGTCCACTGAAATTCAAGCTGTCGTACGAGATCATCCAGGGCCAGCCCAGTCCAGTTCCCGAAGGCAGTCCCTTGCCAGACATCGATGAATTCCCAATCTTGAACCAGCAGGAGGCTGTCAGGTATGCAAAAGACATAATCATTCTCTTTTTGTTGATGTGAAGATTGTTTTGATGTTATTTATTTTAATTATAATTTTTACATATATACTGTTCTTGAAACATTTTGTCTCACATTTTCTTCTTGTTCAGCAAGAAAGGAATGAAATAACTCTCTTCCTGTTTTACAGATATTTCAAAGGCACCTTCGCCAAGGACTGTGGTGAGGATGACATCTGCGTGAGTGATCTCAACATCATGGCGAACCTTAGCCTAGACCTCCACGAGTCGGGTAGCCATTACCTTCTCCGCCTGGGAGAGCAAAACACAGTACCTCTCAATGTAGAAGTGATGAACGCTGGAGAGCCAGCCTACCAGTCGAGCCTGCTGGTTCACCACCACAAAGCTCTTGAGCTGAACCTCAAGGAATCTCAAGTAAGTTTTTGAAAACTTTTGAATGATTGTTTTTTGGTATGAATATCTTAGAGCAATTGAAACTTTATATAGGGATGACTCTTTACAAAGATAGTAATTGTACTTCAAAGTCTGTTTTATATATACATAATGTAATATATAGCTCTTCTCCTATTTAATATTATTAGCAATCAGGATGAATTCTCAGTTAATTCCTTAAATGTCTTTTCTCTTTCAGCTTGGCTCATATCAGTGCTCCCGTGTGTCAGCCACCCTCACCCAGTGTGGCCTCGGAAACCCTCTCGTAGGTACAACAGGGCCATTAATCCTGACCTTCAAAGAATCCAATCTGCCGTTCGACGAAAAATTCATCCACTTCTATGTGGAGGCCAATTCATCATCCACTGAAGAGCGTCCAAAAGAACGTATTCGATTTCTTGTTGAGGTGATCAAGAGGGCTGAGATCTCTATCTTGCCGTAAGTGTTTGCATATTTGTGTGTTTTACTGTTGTTGACCTTACATATAATGTGTTATCTTCATCCCTAGCTTTGATACATGAGAAAACAAATAAAATATCACCTATACAAGATACATGTCTAAATAAAACTACACAAAACCAAAAGTAAAAAAATAAACTCTTCCAGGTCGGTTGCCCCAGAGCAAGTGTTCTACGGAGGAGAGGTGGTGGGGCAGTCTGCCATAAAACACATGGAAGAGGTGGGCATGGAGGTCACTCACAAATATGTAGTGGACAACCGTGGCCCCTGGAGAGTGGATGAGGCCAAGGTGGCCATCCTCTGGCCGTACCAGGTCGAGAACAACAAGGAGCAAGGGAAATGGCTTCTGTACATGACTGAAGTTCCGAGTGTAGATGGTAAGTCAAGTTGGTTGTGTAAATATTGGACTAACTTTTTTTTTCCTTTCTTTCTTTTTTTTGCATTCATTTCTTCATGTCTTAACTTATCTCTTTGTCTTTTTTTATTAATACATTTGACCATTGTCTTGTTTGATTTTATGAATTTTCACTATAAATACCTATTATCACCATCATCATCATTATTATTGTTATATTATTATTATTATTATTATTATTATTATTATTATTCATTTTTATGCCTCCCTATCATATGTTATGCTTGCATTACATTAATCAGATAGTTAGGGCTGCCTCATTTAACTTTTTCCCTTTTCCTGATGACTAGAAAGTAAACTTCTTTTCTTCCAGGTGCTGGAGAATGTGAAGTTGATTCCCGTTATGTGAATCCCCTTGTTCTTCGCCGGACATTTGCTTCGGCCTCAACTGGTCTTGAAGTTGAAGGAGAATTGGAATCTACCGATTACCCAGATCCTGGCGAAGATGTAGTTACTGGCTCAGGTGATGTAACAATAACAAAGAAAGTGACAACTATCAAGAAGGTAACAAGCACAACAGATGTCAAGAAAACCTCAAAGAAGACTTCCTCGAAAGATGTTTCTGTTTCCACAGAGAGAACTACCTCATCCAGTGGCTATTCCTCCTCCAGTTCCTCTTCCAGTTCCTCTTCTTCAAACAGTTTTTCATCCTCATCCTCAGATTTCAGCAACTCAGGATCAACAGATGAAGAAGAATATGGCAGCGGGTTTGGCCAAGGAGCTGGTAGGGATCATGGCAGAACACATGTAAGAGTTAGCAGGAAGGTATTTACATCTGATAGGTCCAAGTTCTCAGAGTCTGACTCTGGAGCAAATGACCTTGACAAAGGAAAAGATGAGGATGGGGATGGACTCATCTCTCACCATGAAGAAACTCGTACTTCGTCTGGAGTCTCTCCTGATGGAAGCACAAGATTTTCTGAAACCCATCATGTAAGTAAGAAGGTACATGTCAAAGAGAGCACAACTGATGAAGACTTGCCTTCTGGCCGATGGGGACAGGGAGGTGGATTCCGCAGGACTTACATAGAAACTTCCAGATCTGGATCTTCCAGCATACCATCAGAAGAAGACAGAAGAATTTACTCAGAAACAGAGGGTTCTTCAAGAGCAGGTATCGATGGTACTTACATAGAAACTTCCAGTCTGGTCTTCCAGTATTCCATCAGAAGAAGACAGAAGAATTTACTCAGAAACAGAGGGTTCTTCAAGAGCAGGTATCGATGGTACTTACATAGAAACTTCCAGGTCTGGGTCTTCCAGTATTCCATCAGAAGAAGACAGAAGAATTTTCTCAGAAACAGAGGGTTCTACAAGAGTAGGTATCGATGATCATGCAGGTTCTGGATGGCATAGTGGGTCTACTGGAAGGGATCATAGCGTGCATGTGGAAGATAGCACACGCAGAGTACAAACAGTAAATAGGGATGAGACTATCAGAAGAACTCATTACGGTGGATCAGACAGGGATGGAAGTTACAGAACAGTGTATGAGGAAACTAGAACCACTGGCCATGGAAGGGTTGGAACCCATACCGGTGGCTACGATGATACACATGATAGAGATGGCTTTAGAAGGACACAAACCTTTGGTAGACATGACAGAGTTGGAGCAGATAGAACAGAAGGCTCAGGTTGGACTAGAGGATCCAGGACTGAATTTGAAAGGAGAACTGGAGGCAGTATTGGAGACACTGATGAGTCCAGGAGAGTGGGAGATAGAGACAGATTCGGCAGTGATGGTTCAAGAAGAGTCTCAGAGGGAGATAGAGTCAGGTGGAGTTCTGCAGATAACCAAGGAAGTACAACAGGCAGGGAAAGCACAAGAACTTATTCATCATCTGGCAGAGGTTATGAAAGTGAGAATGAAAGAAGAACTTTCTCTGGTGATTATGACAGAACAGATGATGGGAGCTACAGGAGAACATATTCAGGTGCATATGATAGAACTACTGTCGATTCTCGGAGAAGAGGACATTCTGGTGGATATGACAGAACAGCTGAAGATGGTTCCAGAACATACTTTGCTGGATATGACAGAATAGGTGATGATGATCAGAACAGACGGGGCTATGGTGGAACGGAGGGAGAGAGCGAGTACAGAAGGAATTTTGATACCTACAACAGAGGAGTAAGTGCTGGTGGAAGAGGAGGATCAGGAACGTATGAAAGAACAGAGTCTACAAGGAGAACATACCATAGCAGCAGAAATGAAGATGGGGACTTCAGAGATGGCTCATCAAGGTCATCTGGAGACCAGTATTACAGGAGACCAAACCTTGACAGATCTGGCGACCATGCATCTGGAACGGATTCCTTCAGGCGTACCTCAGGTGAAGGCAGAGAAGATGGCTCCTATTCCAGGTCAGGAGATGGCACCCTCAGGACCACGACATGGGATTTGACTGCTGACAGTGACAGACATAACCGGGCAAGAGGGGGCTCTCACTCATCCCGCCATCATGTCACAAGTTCTCAAGACCACGGTACATTTGCAAGTGGTTCAGGTGCAGGAAGAACAAGTCATTTTGAGTCCTCTGACTCCAATGCAAATAGAACTTACAAACGTGTTGAAGTAGATCCAGAGACTGGGGAAACCACAGTCTACACAAGAAGAGTGTACAGTCACAGTTGGCCTGAAGACTGGGACCGTAGATCATTTAATGAAGATCTTCCACCTGTGGAGGAAGAACATGAAGGAAGTCACCGCCAACTGAAACGCACCAAACGTGAGAGAGAACTTATCATCAAGCCCCAGGCTGTGACAGATGCCAAAACAGGGAAAACAATGCAGGTTGTGAATTTGGTAAGTTGATCTTTTATTGCTGTTATGTAATTTGAATTAAAAAGATTGTTCTTTTACATTTAGTAGACTAGTTAGTGTTTAAAAAATTCCAAAGCAGAGTAAGTATATTAGATTATGAATGTAGAAAAATTTAATTCACTTTTACCTAATTATCTTTACAGAGATGTGATGGTGATGTTCCAACAGCCAAGTGCTTCGTATTCACCTGCACCATTCGTAACCTAGGTGCTAAACAAGCAGCAAGTATTCGTATCAAATCAAGACTATGGAACTCCACGCTGGTCGAGGATTATCCTAGGGTCAGCTACGTCAGCATCAAATCCAAAGCTTCATTGATATTACCAGAAGACATCCGTAACGACCAAGACCAGTCAGACGATGAGGCCTCAGCAGAAACTTTAGCCTATCCAGATCTGTTGGATCAGCTTCCACCGGAGGAAGTGCCACTCTGGGTCATATTGGTGTCCATCTTTGCTGGTCTTTTAGTGCTCTTAATCATTGCGCTCATATTGTGGAAGTTAGGCTTCTTTGAAAGAAAACGACCAGACCCAACGCTTTCGGGAAACTTGGATAAGGATGCAAATGGATACTAATCCTTAATAGACCTCTAAAATATATCCGTTAACTTGCAAGTGCCAATTTATGTTCAGCATTTTCATGTGTCGAAAATGTGAATAGTGATTATAATATTTTTTTTCATTTTATGATAAAATGTTATCATGAAAGTTTGTGTGCAAGTCAATGTGCTTGTATGTGTCTTCGACCCATTGAGAATGTGGAAACTCTCTTGAACTTTGTGAAAGTGTTGTTTTTATCGCCCATTAATGTCCCATAAGATGTGTCATAGTAAAGAAAGGCTTATTAATAAGTAATGAGATTTTGGGATGATATGAGCTGCTGTATGACTGCTACAACACAAGCGCTAATGCTGCTGCCATGACTGTGATGTTCATTGTGCCTTCCAATCTCTGACTTTCAGAGGCACTTTTGTGGCTCAAGAATAGCCAAAAAGATTTTTTCTTATTTTTTTATATTATTATTATCATTATTATTATATTATTATATTATTATTATTATTATTATTATTATTATTATTATTATTATTTATTACTATCAACATTATTACTATTATTTATCACTACCATTGTTATTATTGTTATTATTATTTATTTTTTTTTCCATTCAGAAAGGTGTAATGCCAATTTTTTTTTTAGATGTATTGCTTTTCTGGATTGTTTAATTTAAAACAAAACTTTAAAAAAAAGTTTGTGTACAGAATTGATGATGACTTGAGATGTTATTTTCTTACAAGTTCAAAATGACATCTTGATGTGCTAAAGTATATTGATTATGCCTCTTCCTGAGACAGTTATATGTGTGTGTGCGCGTGAATGAATGTGTGCTAAGTGCGTTTTGAACTAATGCTGTATTTGGTTGTTCAGCTTTGTCTTTTGTTCTGTAAATATGTGTAGATATTTGGTGATAAATGGTGTATTTGTTATTATTAAAACTATATTTTAATCAATAGTTTTATGAACTATTGTCCTGAACTTTTTTTTAAATCTATTTTCTTTTCTTTTTTATGATCTGTTGTAGTTAATGATTCTCAAAACCTGCTTATTCATTAGGATCTCACTGTACATAGGAGATAATATACCTGTGTGATAAATCCATTCACTGAACTGTACTCTCTTGAGCCAATCAGTGTACTTATAAAATTTTATGTATGTTGACCAAAAAAATAATCAGAATTCTCTTTCAAATCATGCAAGATCTGGTGTAAAAATGTTCAGATATATTGAGTGCTATACTTGTATAATAAATATGAATTCTAACAAAGAAAAGTGAATTTTTTAAAAACCATAGCTACATAATACAGATCATTCTGCATGGTCCATAGTGCTAATTACTGCATCATGGACTGAATAAGTGATCACAATATGTGATTTTTGGCTGAATGGTGATAACACAATATCACATTGAAACAGTGAACCAAACCTCACAGTCGGAAAACAGTGGTTTATTAAATGTTCTATTTTAGAAACACATCAATGAATCATATCCAGCTGTAAAAACACCAATCTCCTTTTAATAAACCACTGTTTTTGTCATGGGTTTACACTCACTCATTTTGTAAAGGCATAGTTGGAAATGATGATAGATATGAAACTTGTGATATATTTATTTAGAATATGTCTGTAGAAAAGGTATAAGTGAGAATGAATAACTTCACAAACTAAGAGATGTAATTGATGCATTTCAGTTAAATCTTGCTGTGAATTACTTGTAGCTCTGGAGAAGATTTAATTGAAACAGGTCAGTTCCATCTCCTGTGTTGTGAAGAATTTGTATGATACTTTCTGTAAGATTTATTAAAACCAAGTCACTACTTACTTTGCTAAATAAATATTAATTTTCTACATGCTACAAAATTAACTTGTAATTACAGTGAAATTATATAAAATATTGTCTTTAAGAAAGCTAATCTTTGATAATGGAAAATTGAAACAAAAATCTTCCAGCGTTTATTTCAAATAAAATAACAAAGACTGATATTGCTATTAGTTTTCATTCATTAACCAACTAAGAAAAATGTAAATCAGAGTGAAAGCCAGTTCTCACCCACAGACAGCCATAGGCACTGGCACACATACACATCCACTGACACCCGCAGGCACATTGCAGACACCCGCACTTGCACACACATGCACATGCACAGACACCCGCACTTACACACATACACATGCACAGACACCCGCAGGCACCTTGCAGACACACACTTGCACACACATACGTGTGCACAGACACCCATAGGCACACTGCAGACACATGCACATGCACACACATACACATGCACAGACACCCGCAGGCACACTTCAGACACATGCACATGCACACACATACACATGCACAGACACCCACAGGCACTCTGCAGATATACATACATGCACAGACACCTGCAGGCATATGCACAAGCACGCACGCACACATGCACACACACACACACACACACACACATACATGCACACACACGCATTTTTACATTATACATGTCTAAGAATAAGTACATAGTGATGTGTCATTACAACAGACTAAAGGAGATTCCTGTACGATTTGCAGTGTTGATCTGCACTAGTTATTCATTATTTTTTTCTCTGTTTGCTGTAGCTGATTAAGAGATAATGGAAAAGAGAAAAAAACATCAAAACTTTTGAGCTTACCTCAAATATCAGGAACCAAGTTAAGACAGGTTTTCACAGTACAATAGGTCTTCCATACAAACCCCAATAAAACAGGCATAATGAATCCAAATATCAATAACAAAACTATAGTATACTGTACAACTTCTTATCTGCTTATAAGCCTGTATAAATGTTATGATATTCAGTTTTCTCACTGTTCCTTCCACATGTACACCAATGAATTCAATTTTCAAAAGTAGTGCTATAGATGCTACAGAGTTCTTCAAAAAATAGCATAGAATATGCACAGAATTATAAGAAGGGGACAGTCCCCATGAAATCACACCTCAATCATGTCTTCATTCTCTTTTTTATCACAAAATAAATCAACTACAAAAAAAATACAAGGTGTGAAAGGTAAAGCAGGCAAATTACAAAATGATAATGATATACAAGTAATACACAGATACGAATGACCCTCATGATCATAAGTTTACAAGACCATGGTATCTCAATTCGCAAAGGAGAAGAAATTGCTAAGGGCGTAAGCTTGGAGAGGAATAAAAGGTACTGTTTTCCCATCTTTAAGGAAAATGAATCTTTTCACCCGGCCATTCCCAAGCTGCACAATAAATTATAAAAATGAAAGTTCCAGTAAGCAATGATTGTGTTATTCAAGAACAGACACATATGTGTGAATTTTGCTTTCAGACTTTGAAATCCCAACAGCTTATACTAAATAAAGCAATTAACAGGTTATTATTCTTTCTTTGTTGAGATTTTTTTCAAGATCATTAACATAGAAAGTGAGTATGATGTAATTAGCAAACTAGTGATGTAGCACTAACACCAAAATGGTTACGAAGTAGGTATTATGTAGGGATATTAAGGAACCTGTGAAGTCAAAGGTGATATATAAGAATGTTAGGAAGATATATCCTACATGCTTTTGAAAAAAATCTCATATACTATACTATGTAATTTCTTCATCTATTGTGATCAAATAATGGTAGACAAATTAAGACAAGATATCTGATAAAGAAGGTACTAGAAGAATGGGTTTGAATTTAAAGTTTCAAGTTAAATAATGACAAAGAAATCCTACATATATAATGCTCTCTCTCTTTTCTATTTTTTTTTTCCTCACACCCTCCCTCTCTTGCTCCCACCCCGTCGTCCCACGTACCACGCACTAACACACACACCCTACCGCACCACACACACACACCACACACACACACACACAAAAACCACACACCAAACACTCACACTACTTACACAAACACACACAAACACACACCACACACCACAACCACACACACACCACACACACACACACACACACACACAACACACACACACCACACCAGAACACACACAGACACACACACACACACAACACACACACACACACACGCCTACACACACACCACCCATCACCCACCACGACACACCAAGCCCCCCTCCCCCCTCCCGACCCTTTAATACACGCCTTTCACTTTGAACTAATACTATCACCTCAAAAAAAAAACTTTTAAGTACAAGTCACGACATGCTAAACACAGAAATGAAAAATTGCCATTCCTCAATGTATTCCCTCTCACCCCTCTCTATAATTTGTCTTCCCCTGGCGAAATAAGACTACCGAAGGAACGTCCGTTCACACAGACATCGAATCCCCCGGCCAAGCAAAGATCAGACTAACTTATTCAATGATATTGATTCCTATGCAATAACCAGATAATATCTCTATCTCAGATCTCTGACTTCATCTTTCTTACTGCCGATAAAACACTGAGCTTGGAAACCACGATGATCACTGAATGATTCGATAAAGCTACTGCCCCGAAACAAAATGCCATGATTTAGGGATAGTCAATTCTATTATGATATAATCGCATTATTGGATACGTTAATTAGATAATGACATGGATAATTGTCACTGTCGTGCATCTTCGTAAGGAAATAATGTCTGGCGGATATACAAAATTTGACAAATGATTCTAACCTAGAAATTAGTGAATCTACAAGCCCGATAAATGTGCAACAATTGAAAGAAACCTCTCATCGTACTTACCATAAATAAATGAACTATGCACCACTGATCAATTTCATACATCGCGCAAACATGAAAAAACCCCAAACAACAATTACTACAAACTTGGAAACCTGATTAACCACCAGCACAACCTCAGTCGACAGAGAATCGCGACCCAGTCCGGCTCGCGTGAATCTACTGAACAAAGAGAAAATGGACAACGCAAGAACACAGAAAAACAGTGGATAAATTCAAAAAGCGCAAGTGAATCATATTCGCGAAAAACAACAAAACAAAATGCACAACAAAATTAAGTGACCAAACCACAATACCATATTAATCACAAACAAAAAAGAAACGAATAGAGTGCGAAAGTGACCAAACCAATACCCACTGTTACTGATTGACAACAAAAGAAAAGAATCACAAGCGAGCGAAACACTTACGCACTATCGCCCCGAAAGGGTCACACCAGTCCATTCGGAATCACCAACCAGTTCAATTCCATAAACCAAAAAAACTGCAAATAAAGCGACAATAGGGAAGATTGAATACATAATATAAACAAATCGTGTGACAGGCAAGAACCAAACCGAGAAATTAGACCAATGATTCATAAACAAAACAAAGACAAAAATGTTCAGCCAGAAGAAATAGAGCTTACAGCGAAATGTGAAACGTCGAACAAAAGCATATCTGCGTCCACTAAGTTCATAAACAAAACAATGTAAAGTTAAGCGAAATGCAAAAATAGTAAGTAACATACAAAATTGAAAGGACCAAAACAATCCAATTTATAAACAATACACAAACAAAATAGAGAGCGAGAATAGAGCGAAAAGGAACACAGAACTTCATAAACATATACCATAAATCCATAACAAGTATCATCATCAAATGACCTCAAATACTGTCGCAGAAGCTGGACCCCAAAAACAATACCAATAATTCATATATATACAAAACCAATGAACAATAAAGCGAAATAATAATAATAATAACAACAATAATTGAAAACTGTGACCCCCTCAACACGTAACGCCAAACTTACTTCATCTACAAAACAANGATAGGTATTGGTTTAGATTTAGTTAGTTAGGTTAGATTGGGCATGGGAAGGTTAGGTTGTGTTAACGTTTGCGAGATTGGTTAAGTTGGGTTAGGTTGTAGGTTGTAGTAGGTTTAGGTTAGGTTGATGAGTTTAAGATTAGGTTGTTGGGTTAGGTTAGGTTTGTTAGTTGTATAGATCTAGGTTAGAGTTGGTTACCTCGTTTGGTCCGGTTGGTCCGATCGGTCCGTAGATATGAATAAATGATAGCGAACCATCGAAGTATTTTAGGCTTACCCAAAAATATATACATCCCCACGTACCTAACCTGAACCTCACAAGCCTAACCTACCTTTACAACCTAACCTGTAACTCAACCTAACCGAAAGTACCTAACCTACCTACCTAACTAACCCAACCCAACCTACCTACTTAACAACAAAACTAACCTAAACCTACCTACCAAGCCACCTAACTAACGAACCTAACCTCACAACCTACCTACCTAACCAACAAAACTAACCTAACCCTAACTACCAATTACCTAACTACGCCAAAACACCTAACCTTAACGTTACAACCACATATAAAACCTAACCTAACCTAACCCAAACCACAACCAACCTAACCTAAACCCAACAAACACTAACCTAACCTAACCTTCAATCTAACCTAACCTAACCAACCAAACCTTAACCTACCTTCAACTAACCTAACCTACCTAACACAACCCAAATCCTAACCTACCCAAACCAACCTAACTAACCTGACCAACCTAACCTAACCCTAACCTAACCAACCCAACCCAACCTAACCTAACCTAACCACAAAACTAACCTAACCTAACCTTTACCAACTATAACCTACCTAATCGACCTAACTCACCAACCTAACTAACCTAAGCCCACAACTTAACCTAACCTAACTTACCAATCAACTAACAAAACACCACCTAACCTAACCTTACAACTACCTAACCTAACTAACTACCCAACCTAACCTAACCCAACCCAAAACTCTAAGCCTAACCCAACCTAACTCACCAACCTAACCTCACCAACCTACCTAACCTACCTAACCCAACATACCTAAACCTCACCACCTAACCTTTAACCCACCAACCCTAACCATAACCTCACAACCAACCTAAAAACCCTAAAAAAACCTTAAAAAACCCTTTTAAAAACTTTTTTATTAACTTCAATCCCTTTAAAACCCTACAACAAAAACCTTAACGCTAACCTAACCCCAACTCACCTAACCTACTCAACCTAACCTAACTCAA